ATCTCATAGATGGAATAAAATTGAGCAACTAGAAACTGATCAAGGAGACTGTTGGTCTGATGAACAGAAACACATGTGATGACATCACTGAGAAGTAAAATAGAAAATGAAAATCAGGAACAAGGAAAGAGAAATAAAAACACTCTGGACATCATTCAATAACTATTTGCTGATGGTAATTATAGGGATGGAAAACCCATCGGACCTATGGAGCTAAAATTAATCAGCAAGTATTCACGGAGTCCCTCCTGCTTCTATTACTGGTTCTGGCTTCCTGCCTGCCCAGTGCCCAGGCTGGAGACATTTGCATGACATTCAGCTTGTCAAGACAGAAGGAGCAAAATAAGCAGGCAGGGCTCACAGCAGCCTTCTCTATCCCATCATGCTCGTTAGAATCACAGTCAAGGGAGACAGATTCCTTCTGTGAAAGACTATAAAACCAACTTAAACATTGTAAACATCACTACATCACCCGAAAAGAGCCCAATTAAATGGAAGTACTGTTTCTGCAAGCAACAGTCAATTCATTTGTGTATTATTTGGAAATTTTAAAGTACAAATCCATATTCTTTTTCTACTGAAATCAGGAACAGAAATTAGTAGGACTTTTAACAACGATACTTAATTTTCAGGGTTCATTCCCTTGTGGACAAACATTTTAGGTAATGACTAATTTCCTTAAAATGTAAAATATGATGTTTATGTCACTGTTAATATTTTGATAAGTAGCTGTTGTAATGGACACCTGTTATTTTGTGCATGCCCAGCATCCCCTTTCTCTTACTTTACTTTAAAAGTCCAGTTATCTCTCTCCCATCCCTTCTCTCTCTCTCTCTCTCTCTCTCTCTCTCTCTCTCTCTCTCTCTCTCTCTCTCTCTCTCTCTCTCTCTCTGATTATCCCACTCTTAGATGTCAGTGGTAGACACTTGACCTAGGTTTTGCCTATCAGGGTACACATTGCTTACATCCCATGGTTCAGGGGTGAGCATATGACCCAACTAGGCCAATGAAACCCCTCCCAGGGACATCCACTACTGTTATTGGACAAAAAGGACTCTCTTCCACTGAAGTTACTAAGCTGGTAGGATGGTTTAAATCCAGGTGCTGCAGGCCACCAGGTGGAGGTAGCCTTCCAGGAATAAAGCTAAAATAGAGGAAAGGAAAGCTAGGTGACAGTCTGCCAGGGGTCCTCAAACTACGGCCTGTGGGCCACATGCGGCCCGCCGAAAACATTTTTCCGGCCCGCCAGGTGTTTTTGCCGCCGCTGCCTGTCCTGCTTAGCAGCCGACTTGTCCCGGGCCCACAGTGCACATGTGTGGAATGTCTGAGGGACAGTGAACTGGCCCCCTGTTTAAAAAGTTTGAGGACCTCTAAGCCCTTTTGACATTGTCTGAGCCCCTGGATCCATCCTGCCTAACACTAACATTCCTCCGGAATTTTAAGTAAATCAATAGTTTTCTTTTTGCTTTGCCAGTTTGGTTTCTTTTAAATGCTAAAAAAAATGTTCTGATAGAATACTAATGATAAGCTTTCTTTGTAAGTGTTATTTCCATAAGCAATAACCAAATAACCTGTAGGAAACCCTTTATAAATCAAATCAGAAACCCTCCTTGACCACCATCTCCATACCCACACCTACTCCCTTCTTAAACACCCAATGACTTCTTAATGCATATTTCTGGATTGGTAATGACTTGTTACTAAATCTGTCTGCATTTCCTCCAGCGTAGAGATTATATCTTAACCATTTTATATTCCCACAGCCTTCCAGTGGGGCCTAACAGGTAATAGTTGCTATTTTGTTGAAGGAATTATATGTTGCTGAAGGAATAAATGGATAGGAGAGACAGTTAGTTGGGAAAGTCCCTACTATTAATAAAGATTCTATAATTAATTGAAATCATCAATAAAATAGCTAATTATCAGAAGGCCAAAGTGAACCAAATTGATATATCCAAACAGAATCCTGAGAGTGTCCGTCATTGGTAGCACTGTAGTTGATAATTTGTCCTTTCTTTGGCCATTGGAGTTGAAAGGGCGGGTAAATGGTAAGTGGTTATTCTTTCTTTTATAAAACATTTACTGTTTTTTAAATGCCATAAAATTTCATAATTTCTCTTGCAAAATGTTAAAACCAAAGCATACAATGTGCAGTGTGGAGTATAGATTGTAGGTTGTAAGGGAGGAGGCAGGGTAGCCAGAAGCTTTCTGAAAACTAGTAGGCAATACAGTAGGGTGGCTTGTGATAGGGCCCTTCTTTATGACGGAGCCAGGAAAAACTGTGAACAAGGCCATGAGTAATGTAAAAAGAGAAAGCACTATCTGTGCAGCACAAGGTGACTGAGTGAGGGAGAGTTTCAAAATTAAGATGGGCAAATGCTGGAAAAAAATAATCTATGTAGCTTAGGTTAGGATCAAGGCATTGGGATGAAGAAACAATCGCTTGATGTAGGCAAAATTCTCAAATTTCTAGAGGAGTAAGAAAACTGACAATGTGAGTTCCAGTTATGACATGTTACTGGTACCTGGATTCTCCCCCCCTCTTCCACTCCCCGACACACACACACACACACACACACACACACACACACACACACACACGCTCCCACTGCAAGGCAATGAAGCCCAAGTTTCTGCAGATGTTTCAAAGATATTTACTTAAACTCTAACACTACCAATGTTTTCTTATCTCCTCCCACATGCTGCTCCTTACTCTATTCCTCAGGTACAGCTTTCTGTGCACTCACTTCCTTCAACCATTGAGCCTTCTTAGTATTCACCAGGCGTCCTTCCTTTAGCATAGGCATTCCTCAAAGTCCATCTCTTCCATAGAGCTACAACTGACTGGTTTGCCTTCCTTTAGTCTCCAAAATGCTTCCCCTGTCCCACCATAGCTTCCCACTTCCGCTGCCACCACCCCAGTACAATTCCCATCTTTCCCAGAACCAACGCCCCTGCCTCCTCACTGCTCTGCTTCTTTTCTTAGCTCCTACAACACAGGCTCCACATTATAGGTGGAATGATCTTTTTTAATAGTTAACTAGATCGTGTCCACCCCTGTGCTGATAAATATTTAACAACTGTTGGGAGGGGGGCAGTATATATGTATTTTCAAGGGAGATGAAAGTGAAACAACAAAGATATATGATGGATTACATGCATTTTTCAATGATGTGAGAGACTTCTTTGCTGATCAAAGTTTTCAGGTACTGAAAAGACATTTCCTCAATTTTTGTGTGTTATTCATAAATTAACACAATTTTAAGTTTAATCATCATTATTAAAATTTCTCCCCTCACTATCTTAAGTTGAGACAATCAACAAAATAAATCAAGCCTAATTTGTAGTGTTTTCCAATTTTTACAGTGTAAATACTCTGCCATGGTTGATTTCAAACTACCAAAATAACATTTCTGAATGCAGAATTGAGAAGAGATATGTGTATCACACCGTATATACTAATAGATCCAATATGCAGAAGAGAAGAAAATAACTTTATAAAGCATAGATATTAGGAAAATTTAAAATAATAAACCTTTGTTTTAAAAAAAATCTTACTTAAATTTTAAGTTCATAAATAATTTAATTTTTAATAGTGGCCAGGATTAACAACTAACATACACAATTCCTGAGAATTTGACAATCAGCTAGCTCCCACACACGACTGAACCATCACTCCTCTGCTTGGACCTTTAGGCCTCCCGTTTGTATGGGTTATCTGGGGAATGAGTGGAGAGAGGCAATGATGATTTTTAATAAAATTCGTGGTCTCTTTTGTTGTGGTGAAATGATGATGCAAAAATTCTACAAGTCCCTCCTTGTTTTCCCAACCAGGCTTGGTATTTTAAAAACGCCTCTGGAGCCTCACTTAGGTCCTGTGAGAGAGGTGGGGTAGATACCAGGATCCTTCTTTTACAGATAGAAACACAAGGCTGAGAAGAAGTAGAGGACTGCCCCAGCTCATTCAGTTAAGTCAATGGCAGAACAGGATTTCAAACTCAGGTCTTATATTGGAAATTTAAGAAGAGGCTAGAGAAAATTTAATTAATGCTGATATCAAATTTTTAAAATTGTAATTTTCTTTTGTAATTCTTCAGAGTCTGATATAAAGCACGTTCCTATCTTGTTCTAGGATCCCTATACCAAGGATGTTTTGATCTTTTAAACTCCACTATTAAATAGGTTGTAAGCACAAAAATGAAAATGCAGGTTTTCAAAAATGAGCTGAGAGGTCCCACCTAGAAATTGAGCAGATTGAAACAATCCCCACCAGAGAAAAAGGGACAGAAAAGGAGATTAAATCAGTAGAGGAAGACAGCTAATGGCATAATGGCCAGCCACAATGGCCACAAATGAAAGACAAAGTGCACAATACTAGCTACAGTTATTCAGTGTGCTTGCACTAATGTCTCCAAACACTAAAACATTAGGTTCCTGCTTATTGCAAAACTTACCTTTTTTATCTGCTGATATTTACCTCATGTTGCTTAAACTATGTTCTGCCAGCATAAAGGATATAGACTTCATGCATATGAGCACAATTGTGATATTTTAGGTTTTATGATGGAGTCATTGAAAGTATCATGAGAAGCAGCATGACACCAGAGATGTTGGTAATAATTTAGCATTTCTCAGTGCATGTGGTAGTGCTAATTCCAATTATAAAGAGAAGTACCAAAGTGGAATTCATTATGATTAAGAACTTGCTATACTATGTGTGAATTGTTTATAATAGGCATGTCTGGTATAAAATGCAAATATTGAAGCAGAAAAAGATGGGATATTCAAAGCTCAGCTGGGTTCCCTTAAGCCTCTTACCTTACAAAGTTAAACAAGAATAGAAGTGTTTCCTAAAGTCAAGGTATTATTTTTAAAAAGCATCTAATAGCTATGATAGCTGCAGGAACAATTTTTTAAAGTAAGTTTTGACGACCCACAGGATCTGCTCATGTTGGTTTAATATACAACTAACATATTCAATGAATTACCATAACTCAAAATGATTTATACAAACATGATAATTTATTTTATTCCAATTTACATTTAACATCATAGATTTAAAGTATGTTTGTGGGGAGACAGAAAGATACAATAAATAAAACTAGAACCATGACAAGGAATTATGAGCTATAAGAAAATAAGTCACAAGGAGGTGTCCTTATGTAAAAGGAAATATGTGATAAACAACAGTGGAGGTGGGAATGAATGTGGTATAAGCTGTGATCTTTCTTCAACAGGATCTCTCTTCACCAACACTACTCAACACATTCATCTCAACTTATCCAGGTTCTCCCTTCTTCCTGGAAAACATAGCGATTGATGCTCAGGATGTGCTGAACACTGGAGCCAAGGCTAGTTCTTATACTCTATACATTTCGTCTCCCATCTGTTAAGCTGTATGCTTACCAATAGTTCCATGTGTTTTTTTCTCCCTCAAAACATGTTTATTTCATTTGTGCTTGTTATTGTAATTATTTAAGTAAATATTAAGTAAAATAATGAAATATGAGTAAAACAAGAAATAGTTGTTGTTCTATACAATCTAAATGGAAAACCGCTATGTAAACAATTACTATTAGATGAGGGGGGTATAAAACAACTTTAAAAGATGAGGATGAGAGCAAGAGGATGAAATCTACACTCTCATTTTGTAGGCACTTTTAATTTCTTGCTCCACTTTTTTTTTTAAATATATTTTTATTGATTTTTTTTTTTTACAGAGAGGAAGGGAGAGGGATAGAGAGCTAGAAACATCGACGAGAGAGAAACATTGATCAGCTGCCTCCTGCACACCCCTGACTGGGGATGTGCCTGCAACCAAGGTACATGCCCTTGACCGGAATCGAACCTGGGACCCTTCAGTCCGCAGGCCGACGCTCTATCCACTGAGCCAAACCGGTCAGGGCTTGCTCCACTTTTTTTAATGGGAAAATAGTAATACTAAATATTAATAACAATTGTTAATTATGAATACTTAATGTGTTCCAGGAATTTGTCTAAATACTTCACATACTAGTATATTGAACTTTACTCTTTAGATTAACTTGAGTTACTACTATTATCATCTTCCTTTCACAAATGATGGAAACTAAGGCACAGATCGTTAAGTTTACCCAACATTACTTCCTCATAGAGGTAGAGGGACCTAGCCAGTCTGGCTCTTAATTGCATGCTGTACTGTAGTTCATACATGAATGAAGGCATCGAACTCCAGTCTCTGGGCTCACAGAAGCTTTAGACTTTCAGCAAAGGATTAGGAAACAAATGTTTAATTCTAGGTTTTAGGTTTTAAAGCAAGTATAATTTTTTTATGATTTCCTTTGCTTTAACTGACTTTTTAAAATTTAATCAAATACCAGTCCAATTGCATCAGCTAGAAGATTTTGCCTGACCTAGAAAGGAGCAGGTAAAGGACAGTCTTAAATACCAGAATGGAAGTTGGAGGTCTGTATACACTGGAATAGGGAATCATTGTAGTTACTTTTTCTAAAAGAAAAATTTTAAATTATATTAAATTATAATTCTATAACCTGCAGGCCAAACATTTGATGTATTTTCCTAATTTTTATTAGATATATGGAAATATAATTTATTGGAGGATTACTAAATATCAAACCCAAACATCACCTCATATGCTTCTAACCATCCAGGCACATAGACGTTAAATGATTTGTTCAGGGTCATACAGCCATAATTTAAAATCTGCTATTTACATCCTGGAAATGATGGCAAAGCCCAATCTTAACTACAAAACTACTTCCCCTCTCCTCCATTTAACATAGCTTCAGTAACAGTAATAATGTTCTCGCCATCTTGACCACTTACTGCATATAGACACCATGATTAGTTACTTGAGTAGGAACATGACATGATTTCATGATGTGTTAGAGGAATAATCTGGCAGGGAGGCATGGATTATTTTAATGGAAATGGAAATAATAATACATGTGAACAGAATGGGAGAACTCACTTGGATAATATATCAATTACTGTATAAACTTAAAAGGTGGTTTGGTTACTATTTAGATGGAAAGTTTTATCAGCCTTAGGATATAGTCTTAGACCCTTCCCATCCATCAATTCATTAATTCATTAAGTAATTCATTTATTCAACAAACATCCACTAAGCAGTAGTGATACAGTGGTTAAAAAAAGAAACACAGGCTCTGCCTTCACAGAGCTTATGTTCAAGTGGGGGAGACAGAAATTTAATAAATGAGGCCACAAATAAGGAACTATCCTTGTAGTGTGCTATCAAAGTACAGGAAACTATGAAAACACATAGTAATGGGTCCTAGTTGTTTCTGTTTTGTTTTTCTGTTTCTCTATAATGAGAGCACTCGGGTATTTAACCATGAGATAATAAAAATGAGTAGCTGAGTAATACTTGTACACTTTTCATTAGCTCATTTGGCCTCCACAACAACCTAGCAAAAGTGATATTATGTCTTCTTCACAATGCTCTATTAAAACTCTGTAAAGTATTTGCTGAGCACCTACTGTGCACTGGGCTCTGTTTGGGAGTGGGGCATGCAGCAATGAACAAGACAGATCAGGTCCTTGCTTTGATGGGGTTTGGATAGCTCACCGTCATGCCCACCTCTGCTTCTGAAACAATCAATTATATTCTCCCTCAAATGGGGATTCATCCTATTTATTATAACTTCCGAGGGTTACTGATGAGTAATTGTCATAGGTAAAGACTTACGATGGTATGTTTAAAACACTGTCAGTAGTGCCCAGCAGACAGAAGCTCAGTAAATTATTAGTAAGTTTGCTAACTATTGTTAGAAATCCTATTATTATTATTACAATGTTTAATGTAATGTTTAATGTTTAATGTCACATTCTTTCTGGTACAATGGATTTCATTTCTTGAATTAAATTCCATACATTTATTGCAAGCCTATCATGGGATTTATATACTCTTTCATGGGAATTATGAGATCAACAAAGAAAAACCTCTTTTAATATTGTCTAATTCTACCTGCCGCAGCCAGGATAAGCATCGTCCTCTGTAAGTTTCAGTTTCCTCTAATTTTCATGAAAACTGATAAGACCTATCTATTTAGCTGTTGTTTTAATTTAAAACAAGTGATTGGGAATGCTTGGATATTATTTTAAAAAGCAGAGTATCACCTAGAATTTGAACAAGTGAAAAAAAAATGAGGCATATTCTTATAGCAGATTCAATTAGAAATTGGTTTATGTTTTGGGGAGAAGTTAGGTAACTTATGTTATATATATATTATATAGGATAAATACTATATATATATAATATATATATATATAGTATTTATCCTATATAAAAAAGGCTAATATGCAAATTATCCCCTCAGGAGTTTGACCACTTGCTATGACGTGTGCTGACCACCAGGGGACAGCAGGAGAAGGAAGGCCCTGGCCAACAGCCAGCAGCCAGAGAGGGGAGGCCCTGTAGGAAGCCACTAGGGACCCTGCCCATGCACCAATTTCATGCACTGGGCCTCTAGAATATAAATAATCCCTAGCAGAACATTTAAGCATAGTTAGAAGGGTAATCACATTGGCATGAGTTATTTAACTGCCTTTTAAAACATGCATGACAGCATTGTACTCTTGGGTCTTGATTTTCTCCCTCCTGGCACTGCTGCTGGTTTGGGAGCCCCGCCCGCCCGTTGCAGGCACCTGGTCCTAGGCCTGGAGAGGTGGAAGGTGGGAACCGCTTGGCGCTCAGAGCACTGTGCGCCCCAAGGCCAGGGCCTTCCTCGAGCAGGCTGGCACCAAGTGAAAGGAAAGGAGAAGCCGTCCCTCGTGCATTCAGAAGAAGGCCGACACCTGGGTTGCTCAGCACCCTTCATAAAGTTCCACCTTGGCCAAGGTTTGGGTGCCCTCTCCCTTCTGGGGTTGCGAGCGTCTCCCCCTTTGCCAAGATGGCGGCCCTGGAGGGAGCGCGCCTAGGGCGCCTCGGGACGAGCAGCTGGCCGAAAGCCTCGTCCTCTCCTGTCACACCCGACCACCCCCGGGGCGCGACGCCCCTCAGGAGCGAGGAAGGGCGACAACCCGAGGCCCCGAGCGAGACCCTTTGCCAAGATGGTAGCCGCGCGGCGTCAGCGCCCTTTACCAAGATGGCGGCGGCGGCTTCCGGCACCCGCCTGCCGCTCCTCTGGAAGATGTCAGAGCAGAGGCGGCCGCGTCCGAATCCGCGCGGCCTGCGGAGAGAGTGGCTGCGCCGCGCTCCGGGCACAGACGAGGTGGAGCCGCGGCAGCCTCCGCCCCCGGCGGGAGTTGGCCAGCGCTGTCACCTGTGGGGGCGCACGAGTTACCTCCCGAAACCCTAAAGCCACACCGCACCACCTTCCCCCGAGTCGCAAAAAGCACAGTATGCGCCGCACCAGGTAGGAGGTCGGTCCCCGCGGCGCCCCAGCCCTCCGGACGCAGCGAGTGGGGCGGGGGGCTGGGCGGGCACCTCCCGGGGGACACCCGGCCCCGGCCCCTCTCCTAGGGGGCTGGCCATGTGTTTCCCCGGGACCGCAGGGGAGGCGCGTAACGGAACAGCTGGAGGGAGCTGAACGCTGCTGTTTGGAAGCTGCGTGCGTTTGTGTCATTAGTGCGGGCTGGGGTCCCAGCGACACGAAAGGGTGGGCGGCGCGGGGAGTCGCGTGCAGCCCAAGACAAGATTGGCGGAGGGGCCGTCCCGGGACGCCGGGAAGCGGGTCCCGGGAGGGTGGCAGGGGAAGTCAGGAGTTTGGGGGTGAGGGCGGACTTTGCAAGCAACTTACTATTTCGCCTGCAACTTGCTTTTAGGCCTGCCACCCCCAGCTTTCCTTAAAAATAATGCAAAAAAAAAAAAGTGCAAAGAAATGCAGCTCGCTGGAGGTTTTGCTTCTGGCGTGCAACTTCCTTCAAGAGTGAGCGCGCTGGGAGGGAGGGTGGGGGCTGAACTTGGCAGGCAGAGCCTCCTTCTGCCGACGCCGCCGCCGCCGCCGCCTGGGAGACTCGGAGAAGAGGGTGGGGGCCGGCCGGACGCGGGGGAGGGTGGGTTCTGCTGGCAACTTCTCTCCGGGGGCGAGCGCGGCGGCGGGTGCAGACCCGGCCGCCCAGACGATGCGGGGGTCGGGGACCTGCCGGCACGCCACTGCCCCCGGGCCCAGAGTCCGTATGCGCCCACCCCCTCCTCGGTCCTGCTCTCCCCGGGGCCTCCCCAGAGGGCGTGTCGGGCTGGCCGGCCCGGAGCGCGGCTGAGACGCCGGGGCACCGTTTCCGTGCCACCCCGTGGCCCCGCGCTCAGTGACACACTTCGCACAACTCGGCCGGTGGGGGGGTGGGGCGGGTAGGGGCGGCGGCGCGGACCACCCCCGCGGCTCCTGCGGGCCGCGCCCAGGCCCCCCTCGCCAGCCCGCTGTCAGCCGCAGGGGCGCCGGCGGCGATTGCGGCCGAGGGACAGGGCGAGCTCCCGAGTGGGTCGGGAGTCGCGGAGCTGGGCGGGGGCGGGGAGGAGGCCGAAGAGAAACTAGAGGAACTCGGTTTCCCTGCCGAGCGCTCGCTGACAGACTAGGTCCGCCCCCGCCTCCTCTCCTTTTTCCTGGGGGTCCGGTGGGCGAGGACCACCCCCGCGCGGCCCGGGGGCGGTGGCGGGGTGCCCGGGCGGGGCCACGCCGGGGCCGCGGGCGTGCAGGCGCTGTCGGGGCCGGGGTGGAGGGGCCCGCGCGGAGGGCGTGGGGGCAGGGGCTGCGGACACCCGTGCAGTTGCCGAGCGTCGCCAACAGGTTGCACCGTTCCCCGCCGCCGCCGCCGCGCGGCCCCTTGGGCGGGGAGCGCCCGGGGGTGGAGTGGGAGCGCGTGTGTGCGAGTGTGCGCGCCGTGGCACCGCCTCCGCCCGCCCCCCCCGCCCCCCTCCATCCCGCTCGCTCGCCGCGGCGGGGCGGCCCTTTCGCGTGTCCGCGCTCCCTCCCCTCTCCTCGCCTCTCCTCCTCCATTTTGCGATCTCGAGTCGGTGACGGGAGCCCGAGTCGCCGCCCGTCTGTCGGGGACGGGTTCTAGTGGGTAGAAGGAGACGCCGCCCGAGCGGCCGGAGCGAGCGGCCAGGCGCCGGGAGGAAGGACGCGCGCCCGAGACCCAGCCCGAAGAGACAGGCTCGGGGCGCGGGCTGGCTTGTCAGCCGAGAAATGCTGGAGTTTCTTGGATAGGGGCTTCCCCCCCCCACCCATGGAGAAGGGGGCGGCTATTTACTTCCTTTTTTTAGGGAAAAATCTCTCTTTCACATGCTAAGTTGTTTATCTGGGCTGCGTGGAAGCTGCGGACGGTGGTGGGTGAGCGGCGCCTCCAGCAGAGGTAAGAGCGGGCAGCCCGGGCCCGCGCGGGCGCTCCCTCCCCCGAGGTGCGGTTCGGGGGCCGCCGCGGGAGCCTGCAAACTTTTGTTAGCCTCGGGGAGCGGGGGTGGGGGCCGGCGAGGGCCGGTGGCGGTGACGAAAGGGCAGCGCGCGGGTGCCAGCGCCGGGCTCTTCCTCTCCCTGGGCCGCCGTCCCCCGGTCGGGCCGAGGGGGAGGAAACTGGGCTCTCACTCTGCGAGTGGAGCCCGGGCTGGCTGCCTCGGGGTTCCAGCCTCTCTTTTTGTTGTTGTTGTTTTCCAAGTCCCCTTCCTTTCCCTTCCCGGGGTGGGGGGGGGGGGGGACGCCCAAATACCCATTTTTATGGTGAACACCAAGCCGCTTCTGAATGCTGTTCGCCAGAATGTTTCCACTCCACCCTGGTGCGCCGAGCGCGTCGGGGTTTCTGTCGAGGCTCCAGCGCGTCTCACTTCTGGCGGGCTCGCGGGTGTGAGTGTGAGTGTGTGTGAGTGAGTGTGAGTGTGTGTGAGCGCACACGCAGGGGGCCGACCGCTGGCAACTTGGAGACTTCGGCCGGGGCCCGCGACGGCAGGTAGGAGTGGGCGTGTCTGGGGAGAACGCAACAGGTCTTGGCATGTTTCTCTTTAACCTCGCACCCCCACCCCCACCCCCAAGCTGGGGTTTGGCGCTTTGCGGTATTTCCTGCCTGGCTTTTATAAGTGACCCTTTTTCAAAGAGACCCTCCCTGGCCGTCATCGTTTTCTGGAGCGATTTTTTTGACAAGTCGCGCGTTTGACGTTTGGGTGGCAGGCTTGATCACGGCAGCCTCGCGCTGCCCCTGAAGACCCCCGTGGCGTGGTTCATTGAGGTGTCGGTTATTTGCCACGTAAACTGGGGATACAGCCCTGGGAAGAAGGGATCGTTTTCGTTTTATGAGGTATTGTTTTGGTTTAGAGTTGGAAGGCAGCTGTCAAAACGGCGTGGAAATTCATTAGGTTCCACTTGATGCCTAGTGTTTAAAGATCCTTATCAGATAAGGGGGGAGCGATACGCAGTTTACCGTCAAGGTTTGTAGGGACAGATTCCACCCTTCTACCTCCATCGCACTCCATTTTCAGTGAGGGCCAGTGAAGTTTGTTTTTTAAAGTCTCTGTACAGGACAAATTTCCTTTCATTTGGGTGAGATTTGACTATCATGTCGAAAATACGCTTATCAAAGTCTTTGCCGGTTTTTACAAAACATGCTGATTATTAGTATACCAGCAGCCTAACCGTCTTGAGAATAGGCTGAGAGTTGTCATAGGTGACGGTTTAGAATGCAGAGGAAATTATTCCCAGCATTTTACAGGATTTTTTCCCCCCGCATGGATTTATACGAATATGATTTTAGAGTTCTGGATTTTTCTCTTGTTCAGTAGTTAAAAATTTGGAAAGGAAACGTCTTTTAGAAATATATTGTTTGATACTGAGGGTGTTAAGCAGTTTTAAAGAAATGTAGTGTCCTCTATATTTTATTGTCTTGTACGGATTGAGAGGCACTGCATTTGTTATATTTAAATAAGCTAAAGTTGTAGTGAAAAGCTATATTCTCTTCTGCTTTTTAAAATCTAAATTTTAGTTTGCCTTTATACAATGTATTTCATTTAGTATGTCCAGAATTTGAAGGCAGGCACTGTTCAACAGGTACATTCAATAAGAAATATGAGTTAAAAATAAAAACCTATTCCTAGCCTATTGGAAGATAAGCAGAATCATCGTTTATTTTTCAGATAAAATGTGCATGATTTACTAGGAGGTTGTACTAAAGGTTTGAATGTATGACTAGCTAACTAGTAGGAGGGGAATTGGGGAATAATCAGATAAAGAATTCTAGCATAGTATTTATCAAATTTTATGTGTATTGATTCTCAGAAAAGCCTTGATTGAAAAGAGGCAGGAATTTTAATGATCATAGTTCTTTTTTTAATTAAATACTTTGGCGTCAACTCTAACCTTTAGAATAATCAGATGTAATGGATTATAATGTCTGTAATTAACAGAGTCACAGTTCTGTGAGTGTCAGGATTAATAGCCAAGCTTAGTTTGATACAATTTTGTTCTCAGCCATGCAAATGGGCTGTATTGTACTTTTACATGTGGCACACTGAGTGGGAGCAGGGGACATGCATGGCTTTTTTATTCTGGATGAAACTATTCTGATAACGAGGAATTAGATTCAGAGATAACTAAAAGGTTCATTTAACAAGCTCTTACTAATCGGATCACAGAGATAATGTGATTTCATAGCTTATTATGTTTTCCCCCCTCTCTCTTTTTTGTAGCTGATATTCATTGATGGACTCAAAGGAATCCTTAGGCTCCCCCAGTAGAGAAGAAATCACCAGCAGTGAGCTGGTTGGGGAGAGGGGAAAAGTGATGGACTTCTATAAAACCCTAAGGGGAGGAGCTACTGTGAAGGTTTCTGCATCTTCATCCTCACTGGCTGCTGCTCCTCTGTCAAACTCCAAGCAGCTACTTTTGGTTGATTTTCCAAAAGGCTCAGGAAGCAATGCGCAGCAGCCAGATCTGTCCCAGGCAGTTTCACTCTCAATGGGACTGTATATGGGAGAGACAGAAACAAAAGTGATGGGAAATGACCTGGGATTCCCACAACTGGGCCAAGTCAGCCTTTCCTCTGGGGAGACAGACTTTCGGCTTCTGGAAGAAAGCATCGCAAACCTCAGTAAGTCGACCAGTGTTCCAGAGAATCCCAAGAGTTCAGCGTCTACTACTGTTTCGGTTGCCCCCGCAGAGGAGTTTTCAAAAACACACACGGATGCGTCTTCAGAACAGCAGAATTTGAAGAGCCAGACCGGCACCAACGGTGGCAATGTGAAGTTGTATACCGCAGACCAAAGAGCCTTCGACATTTTGCAGGATTTGGAGTTTTCTTCTGGGTCCCCAGGTAAAGAGATGAATGAGAGCCCTTGGAGATCAGACCTCTTGATAGATGAAAACTGTTTGCTTTCTCCTTTGGGAGGAGAGGAGGATCCATTCCTTTTGGAAGGAAACTCCAATGAGGACTGTAAGCCTCTCGTTTTACCAGATACTAAACCTAAAATTAAGGATAATGGAGATCTGATCTTACCAAGCCCCAGCAGTGTGACACTGCCCCAAGTGAAAACAGAAAAAGAAGAAGATTTCATCGAACTCTGCACTCCTGGAGTAATTAAGCAGGAGAGACTGGGCCCAGTTTACTGTCAGGAAAGTTTTTCTGGAGCAAATATAATTGGTAATAAAATGTCTGCCATTTCTGTTCACGGTGTGAGTACCTCTGGGGGACAGATGTACCACTATGACATGAATACAGAATCCCTTTCTCAACAGCAGGATCAGAAACCTGTTTTTAATGTCATTCCACCAATCCCAGTTGGTTCAGAAAATTGGAATAGGTGCCCAGGATCTGGAGATGACAACTTGACTTCCTTGGGAACTTTGAACTTCCCTGGGCGATCGGTTTTTTCTAACGGCTATTCAAGGTAAGATTGGTTTTCTATTTCTTAAGTCTGAGACAGATTGGTAGATTTAAATGTTCATTTGTATGTTTCTCCAGCAATTAATGTGCTTCTTCATGTGAATAAATTTAAGGAGTTTTTTAAAGTAGACATGGTAGACAGCCTAAGTGGTATTTCTATATATAACCTTTTCAAGTTTTTGTCTGAATATTGGCATTCAATATCCCATTGGCCAATGGTTGAAATTTTATTTTAAAAAAATACTGCTCACTAACAGGTACCTTAAGTAAAAATTGTGTAAGTTCAAGGGGTTTTAATGTTTGCAGATACAGCATGTTCATTGTGCATGTTCATTTAAGCTGTTTAGAATACGCTAACATTACAATGAAAAGAACCCTTTATACTTTACATAACCTAGAGTTGTGCTGCTGTATTTGCACACTGGTGAAATGTAACGTGCAATTAAAGGGTTAAAAATTAGAAGTACTAACAATAAGTCAAAGCAATGCAGTGAACAGTGTATGGGACCATAGTATTAGGCATAGGGCTTCCTGACCTAAAGTAGCCAAGTCTTGTTTGCTGATCAGTCTCTTTGAGATAGGAATTGGTGGTAACATGGTGCAAAACAAAATTTTACTTTCAAATGTTCCCACAAGTTCTTAAGTAGAAACTGATGGCCAATATTGTTAAGCTTCAATTCTCAACGTCATTTGATGCTTTTCTTTGTTTCTTTTTTCTCATTCATTTATAAGTGTAGTGACATTTCTGTTTGACATCAAAAGGATCTGTTAAAATGGAATTACTGGGGAAAAGTTCTCAATTTAGATGTATCTGTTGGTAGTTCTGTGTCTGCACCCCATCCCCAATTCAGATAAATACTGGGTTGTATATCACATATTGGGTGTGAAGGAAAATACTTCAAAATGTGATTGTAGAGACAATCAGTGGTTGTTGTTTTTTTTAAAGGCATAGTAGACACAGCAATTTATTTGTACATAAGCATTTCATATCTTTTCTTAAATGTTAGGGATAGTCATTGTTCCCATTAACTAATCACTGGAGATTTTATTTAAAATTTCCTTTAAAATACTTTTTCTCTTAAAGGGATGTCCTAATAGAGGTGTCTCTTCTTCCTCTCAAGTAAAAATTGTATAA